AAAAAGTGAAATAAACTCGCGATAGTCAAAAAGATAAAAACGCTCAGAAGTCATAAAATAAAAAGTAAGAATACAATTAAATAAATAGTAGAGTTAAAAATAGTTAAGTTATAAATAGTTAAGTTATAAATAATGTACAAAGAAAAAAGTAAGGCTTACATATTATGTGCGTCAAAACGGAAAGTGAGAACGGTAGCGCAGAACGAAGAAACGTCGCAAGCCATAACTGCGAACACATCAGTACAGCGTGACAGACGAAGTCATACGTTGAAACGTTGTGAAATTTAAATATATTTATTATTTGGCCAGTCGGGTCGAACAAAAACGACTTTTGTTTTGTATTTATTTACTGGCGAAGAAAGCTTCTTATTAAGTTACCAAACTTATGATATATTATGTGCAACATAATTTCTGTCATTCGATTGCAAGTACTTCAATTGTGTTATGTGTGAGATAGTAGTACATTTTTTAAAGTATTTTAAAAACTCTTAACAATAATTTCTAAATTTTCCGGATAAGTTACGAGTATTATTTGCGTAAAGATTTTCTCTAATTTTTTTATTGCAAGACAGAGGATTATTTAGTTGATTTATGTTTCCTTATATGCACAGTTTTCTCGCACTATAGAAAACAGTAGAGTCATGTTATTACTTGTAGAAGGTGGCGCGTACAATTAACATTACATGGCGTTTACGCGATTTTTACCAAATTGAGCTTGAAAACTGATATCAGAAAGATCGAGAGGCCATTTGCTAACTTTCAGAAACATTATACTATCCGCGTTACGTTATCCGACGTTATCGTAATCATGCATCTCTCGACGCTGATTACCATCATTAAACGTCAAAACGTCCCTAAATTATTGAGCGTTTCGTCATGCGAGTGTCTTTTCCAGGTATTCACGGGTAATATGCCCGCGTGAGCGTGCTCACATTTATGGGATTACGACGTTTCCGGTTTAGACCAACTATCGCGCGGAGGAAAATTATGGTGATCCCGCTTACCGCGGGCGCGCTAAGAATGACATACGATGCTCACTTTTAATGCCGATATTGTTCTTATGTCTCCATTCACCGTTTCGAGAGGCAGACTCTCAGCCCGCGGTGACTAAAGATAGGAGGACATAAAATTTCCATTGTTCTATTACGCTCGCAGACATTGGCGGCAGATGCGCTGAGCAATTTTACAAGAATCTGTGGGTCTTAAAATTTGATTACATAATTATCATTATTATATTAGAGATATATTCTCGTTATATTTTCTAGAAACGATAATATCGGCATTTCTCGAAATATGAATCCTCTGATGAAATTTTACATTTCCGAATTTTCCCTTAAAATAAACTGTTACTTCCAAACATAATCTACAAATCACAATTTATTGATAAAATTTTTTAATATGGATTACCGATTCTTTCTACATATTTTAATATGTCTATTTATTCGTTCGCTCATATATATATGATATTGAAAATCAGATTCAGAGATTCTATGCTTTTCGATGTCGCGTTTAATTCGAGTTTCGACGATATCCGGAGGTAGTAAAAGAAGAAGGAAGATAATCGTCATAGGCAAAAGCCGATGCGAGAGGCCCGCGAGGCGCGGACACACACTTGTCCCACGCCACGTGGCTGTAAACAAGGGATTTCGCGCTGTCTCCGCGAAATAAACGCACAGTGGTGCACCCACGCGTCTCGCGCGAGGGTCCCATTGTTATGGAGGCGTCGCGCGTGCTGCGTGGCAAATAAACGCTAGCGCCTTTATTCCCCTTCATTACTCACCGGTACTCTCTTAAACGTTGCGCCAAATCGCCTTGTCTGCGGTGCACCTAATGAGGGAAGAACTTTATCTGGCCTTCGACGATTTCCTGCAGGCTTTCTTACGCCACTCTGCCTCTGGCGCGGCTATCTTATCTTAAATTATCTTACATAACGGTAAGAAAATTTGAGGTGCTTTCAGTTTGAAGTACTAGGATGAGAACAAAAAAAATATTTTTTTATCTTGATATCAAACTCTTCTTCTTTGCTTCTTCTCTCCCAGAGAACTTCAAATCTTCTTATTTCTATCATATATTCTCTACGTTATATAAATAAAATATACATAATTTAATATTATATTACATTATAAAGTTTCTCTGTCAATGGCGTTTGACTTCAATTCGAAGGATAACATCTCGGGAGCAATAAACGTTACCGAAATTTAACCGCGGTAGTCGAGGGTTAATGCAGGAGGCGTACGCAGGTCGTTCTCGGCAGATTGCTTTTCTCTCGCGGACTCCACTTCGGTCGCGGAATGTGGGTTCGAGATTTCTTCTCGACACACGATTATTATACGACTGCCCTCGCGGCTGACATTTTTATGCGCGCCCGATGGACTGACAGTGAACATGCTACGATGTTTGGCCATGTCGCTCGTCAATCGGCATCAATTTACGATGATTCTCGCGCGGATCGATTGATTTCGCTCTGTACCGCGAAAATGGACACGCCTGTTTCATGAATATGCTATAGTGTATTACGTTTCGAAAACCTTCAAATAAATATAAAAGCAATTAAAAAGTAACTTTTCACTTTATAATGCACATAATATTAAAACCGGGTCAACATTAAACAGTTTCGATTTTCGATTCAAGAAGATGTGAATAAATTACAATGCTTTTTTAATTATAATTTCATGTTGAATTATATAAAAATATCTTAATTAGAGATATGATATAACTATATTTAATGTAGAGAATCTAGGAATGGAATTTCCAGTATTAAACTGAAACTCTGCTAATGAATTGAACGTGGATTTGGTTCAACACACTTTAGTCGCTTACTGAGCAGCTGCAATCACCATGTCGGCGAGTTAAATATATGCATCTGTTAAAATGCACGTTTGATAATTGTCGCGTCTGCTCGGTGACGCCGAGCCGTATCGCTTGAACTTCAGAAGTGGTCCGAGAACGCCCGCGTGTCTCCACTTCAGGAACTTAGCTTCTTATGAAAGCGACTCATTGTTCCTGACAAGTGCGCCGATCAGCGTAAGCCGAAAAAAAAAATGGAGTCACGATCGGCGAATCAGTCTCCGCGGTCACGGTCTCCGATCGGATCCGCGGACACGCCCGGATTCGTCATCGTCTGGGCATACCGATCCGAATGTCGTTTTAGCATATGAATAGCAGGTCACGCGGGCAAGACCGCATCCTTATTTAATCTCACAGCGCATTTGCGCGATCCTTTTCGTTTGATGTACAATACGTTCCTACATGTATCATGAGTTCTTGTGTAGGTTGAGGGTTTTATTTGCGACTTGCGCGGCCTTAACAAAGCACAGCCGAACGTCTTAAATATATACATAAATATACATATTTTTAGCCTTTTATGAAATAGATTTTATTGAATAATTTGAATTTCCTTATTCTTCAAGCTAAAGAGAAAAATTGAGAGGGACTATCCATATGTATTATTTAGTTTGAAGGGGCATGCGAATTTAGGAAAGACGTAAATCTAGGGCATACTGACATAAAATATTTTGCCAAACTTGTTAAAATTCCTTTTTCATCGCTTGCATATATATAAAGAATTCATAACGAGAAACCTAAAGAGGCTTTACACGATACTGCGCCGCTTCTGTCAGTGTCCGCGACCTGGTATGCGATTTCATTTTGAAGTAGCGGCTTTATTCGTGTCTCTCGGAGTTCCTGTTTTCCACACAGCAGCCGCATTTTTTTCGCGACACACCGCCACGGTGTACGACCGTCGTAATTCGCGCGCGAACGAGGCAGCCCAGCGGCAAACGGCACCTATAAGTTCGTTCGCAATGAAACGTCGGTGTTCTGGCATTGGCTCGTGCTATGACACCTTTATTCCACGTTTATTCAATCGCCGTGCTAAAACTGCGCTCCGGATCGACAAGGTCAGCGCTATTACCCGTCGCGATTGGAGCATTTCTCGGCAAACGCCCCTCTCGAAACGTTCTTGGAGCAATAATAATATTGAACAAAAATAACGGCACTGGCCTTCGACTGAATTGCGCGAAGCTCATTTTTCCGGCTACCCACGTGCCGCTTAACAATCTTTCGCTATATCCGCGCAAATTAGGCAGCTAGGCTCCCTTGCTCATATTAAGGAACCATAATAGTTTTTTATTAAAGCAGTTAAATATATTGTAATATTTATAATTGGTTATCAGTACCCCATTTATTAATATCAGTTGATAAATATGATGTAATGTAATATGTGCACGTGAGAAATAAAAAACCAATTTCTGCTAGACAATAAAAATAGACTTTACGTGAGTTATGATAATCAATAGTGGATGACAAATCAGTTTGCGCGTAATTGTAATTACAAATGCATAACGATTTGTCATCTAATTTTTATTTTATATTTACACAGATAACATTAATTTTCGATTAATTAATTTTTTCCTTAAACTTCGTACATAGCAAATAGATGTTAAATAATGTATATTATAATCATCAATTGATATTGTGACATGTTAGTTAATAACAAAATTAATTATTACATAATTATAATACTTAAGCCTGAGTATTATATGCATATCACAAAGACACTTTTTCTTTATGTTCTGCTCTTCTAATATCTTTTAAATTAATATCTTTAAAATTATAAATGTCATATAATTTGACAGTTTATTAAAAAAAATTATTAATATGCAACATTAATAAGTATTTCCTATACCTGTTTTATATTTATACAGACACCGATGCATTTTTATTTCACACAAATTAAACGTGATTATACAAGTAA